AATTAATACGACTTGTAAAGAACTGGAAGAGATGGTGTCGTTTGCTGAGTTTAAAGCTCTGATAGAGGAAAATGTTGTTGTTGTTGATGTAAAGTATTGTATGTACATGCTGACTATTTTGTCCTGACCTCTTGCCAGGTCAGATATAAGTAGGACACGTGACATCCCGTCAACTTTAAGAAAAAACACTTTATATTGGAGGTGTCTCGAGATGGTTATGCATATTCACGACATGAGGCTAGTAGCATAGCGTCTCTCAGTTGACGTCAACAACCCTCATCGAATATTCCAAATGTTTTACAATAATGAGCAGTATCCACCAATCCAAAGAAAGGATAGGCGGGAGCTAGACCGCTTTGTGGACAACGCCTCCCATTGTTAGTGCGGAGAGACATGCAACTTGTCAGTACATGTTCAGGAAAATGGCGCCAACAGACATGGCAGCTCTGCTTCTAGCTCCTAAGAAACTTTGCAGTCTTTTGTTTTTTTTGTGTGTTATTTCTTCCATTATTAGCCCAGGACATTTTTTTGTGTTATTACATACAGCCGGAAATAACTTTTGGATATCAGAGTGGCAGTAACTCACCAACATTACAACCGGGAATGCGACTTTACCGAATTGGATCCTTTGTTCGTATCCCCCAGCGCAATTGAACTGATTCCAGAGGTTGATCCAAAACACCGCCGGCGGAGAAGAGGTATTCAGGGTGGACTTCTAGTCCGACTCAGGAGGCGCGCGCACCATCCACCGCTTCCGAGTATATTACTCGCTAATGTTCAGTGTCTGGATAATAAAGTAGACGAGCTCAGGGCGAGAATCTCCTTCCAGAGAGACATCAGGGATTGTAACATAATCTGTTTCACGGAAACATGGCTCTCTCGGGATATACTGTCTTTGTCTATACAGCCAGCTGGGTTCTCAGTATATTGCGCAGTCAGAAATAAAAGACACTCCGGGAAGAAGGAAGGCGGGGGTGTTTGTTTCATGATTAACCACTCATGGTGTGATTGTGATAACATAGAGGAACTCAAGTCCTTCTGTTCACCCGACCTAGAATACCTCACAATCAAATGCCGACCGTATTACCTCCTAAGAGAATTCTCTTCGGTTATAGTCACAGCCGTGTATATTCCCCCTCAAGCCGATACCACGAAAGCCCTCAAAGAACTTCACTGGACTTTATGCAAACTGGAAACCACATATCCTGAGGCCGCATGTATTGTAGATGGGGATTTTAATAAGGAGGAAAACGCTACCGAACTTCTATCAACAAATTGACTGTAGTACTCGCACTGCTAAAACACTCGACCACTGCTACTCCAACTTCCGTGATACCTACAAGGCCCTCCTCCGCCCTCCTTTCGGCGAATCTGATCACGACTCCATTTTGTTCCTCCCTTACTATAGGCAGAAACTCAAACAGGAAGTACCCGTGCTAAGGACTATTCAACGCTGGTCTGACCAATCGGAAGCCACTCTTCAAGATTGTTTTGATCATGCGGATTGGGATGTGTTACGGGTAGCCTCCGAGAATAACATCAACGAATACACGGATACGGTGACTGAGTTTATTAGGAAGTGTATAGGAGATGTTGTACCCACTGTAACTATTAAAACCTACCCTAACCAGAAACCGTGGATAGATGACAGCATTCGGGCAAAGCTGAAAGCGCGAACCACCGCATTTAACCATGGCAAGGTGACTGAGAATATGGCAGAATACAAAAAGTGTAGTTATTCCCTCCGTAAGGCAATCAAACAGGCAAAAACGTCAGTATAGAGACAAAGTGGAGTCCCAATTTAACGGCTCAGACACGAGACGTATGTGGCAGGGTCTACAGACAATCACGGACTACAAAGGAAAACCAGCCACGTCGCGGACACTGACGTCTTGCTTCCGGACAAGCTAAACACCTTCTTCGCCCGCATTGAGAATAACACAGTGCCACCGACGCGGCCCGCTCCCAAGGACTGTGGGCTCTCCTTCTCCATGGCCTACGTGAGTAAGACATTTAAGCGCGTTAATCCTCAGGGCTGCTGGCCCAGACGGCGTCCCTAGCCGCGTCCTCAAAGCATGCGCAGACCAGCTGGATGGAGTGTTTACGGACATATTCAATCTCTCCCTATCCCAGTCTGCTGTCCCCACTTGCTTCAAGATGTACACCATTGTTCCTGTACCCAAGAAAGCAAAGGTAACTGAACTAAACGACTATCGCCCCGTAGCACTCACTTTTGTCATAATGAAGTGCTTTGAGAGGCTAGTTAAGGATCATAACACCTCTATCTTACCTGACACCCTAGACCCACTTCAATTTGCTTACCACCCCAATAGATCCACAGACGATGCAATCGCCATCGCACTGCACACTACCCTATCCCATCTGGACAAGAGGAATACCTATGTAAGAATGCTGTTCATTGACTATAGCTCAGCATTCAACACCATAGTACCCTCCAAGCTATATATATATATATATATATATATATATATATATATACTCCGGACTCCGACATTGCTCGTCCTAATATTTATATATTTCTTAATTCCATTATTTTACTTTTAGATTTGTGTGTATTGTACTGCACTGTTGGAGCTAGGAACACAAGCATTTCGCTACACCCACAATCACATCTGCTAAACATCTGTATGCGACCAATACAATTTGATTTGAGTGGTAGAGGAAGATGGTTACAGGGTGAGGGATACAGAGAGGATTGCTGTGAGAATTTTCTATTTATTTTTTATTTAACTAGGCAAGTCAGTTAAAAACAAATTCTTATTTATAATGACGGCCTACCCCGGCCAAACCCAGACGACGCTGGGCCAATTGTGCGCCGCCCTATGGGACTCCCAATCACGGCCAGGTTGTGATACAGCCTGGAATCTAACCAGGTTCTGTAGTGACGCCTCTTGCACTGAGATGCACCACTCGGGGAACCCCAGGCAGAGAATAAGAGAGAGTGATGGGAAGAATATGTGCTTCGAGCGGGCTTTTTAGCATGCATAGCCATGGTTGTCAAATTGTACTGCTGAAATAGATCAGAAGTCACAGAAAATAGAAGTTGTGGTGGCAGTGGCTGAGAAGTACTTGAGATTGCGAGGATTTACTTCAGAACAGTTGCAGTGGTTGTGTTCTGTCCTCTCAGACCGGTGGTTAAATAGTGGAAGGGGTGGTGTTTTTTTGTTGTTGAGGGGGCTAATAGTTGGCAGGGCAATTTTCCTTTTCCCCAATGTTGTATTACCTTATCAAGAATTGAATGTAGGTAGGTCGTGAATGGCATCCCACACCAGTACAGTAGGTGGTGGTGTATGCAGCTAAAAGTTGGATGCGATCCACCAACCAAATCCTAAAGAAGAAGAAGTACGTCTGTGGTTGTATTTGATTGATTAACGTTGTATTAAAATGTATAGATTTCAGCTAACAAAGAAAGGCACGCAAAAACATAGGTACACGGTAAGGGTTTTAGAATGTAAAAAAAAAAAGGTATCGACGCATAGCAACTCGAAAGATCATTTAAAAAAACTAGTCTGTGGTACTTGGCAATGTAAGGCGAAGAACTGTTAGGTAACCGAAAAAGTAAGCATTGACAGTACGAAATACTCAATTGACAGCACGCAATATTATTGCATTAAATTAACTGTGTATGGAGGTGATTTATCGACGTTCTCCCAATCAATGTGATTTGTTTACGTTTGGCAATATTGTAATCCGATTCTCAATTTCCCTCTCCCGTTTTTCACTAAGAAAACACAGAAAATATACTTGAGGTAAGTTATTATGCATTAACAGCAAACGTGTTTTTATTTTCCATCAAAAAAAGTTGTCATTTGAACCAAACTTACCTATATCTAGTAGTCGGTTCGCTCAAAACAAGGTAGTCACCACTGATGTATGGTCGTACTATGCATTTCGAGAAAACCGAAAGTGAGAAGTTGTCAGCATCACCCGTAGCCTGATGCCGTGTTCAAATGCTAGTCGGAAATAGGAAACTCGTACATCTCCGACTTGAAGTGGTCACTATAATCCGTTAGAAACTCGGAAATGTCCGAGTTTCTGATAGCTTGTGAACGCGGCTGAGTCTATGGGCGATGCTGCTGACAACCTTTCACTTTCGGTTCTCTCGAAGTGCATGGGGATGACCGCACATCCTTCTTCTTCTTCTATTTCTTTAA